TTCTCCCCAGCTCTGTCCCTCCCATTCCCCCCTCCCCTCTCCCCGTACTTCTGAGCTCCGTGGACAAGAAGGCTCTATGTTAGACCCACCCTCCCCCACCCCATCCGCATCCCGCTTCAAAATAAAAGCGAGTGAATCACTTTCTAAACTCTCACCCGTGCAGTTCAGACAAGTTTGGAAATGAAATACATCGCGTTTGCACTGGAGGCCGCAGGAATCCAAAAGGGAAACAAACAAAACCAGACCGAAAAACGTATTCCGAGTTAAGATTGCAAATGGAAATCTAAAACGAGTGTTCGTTGATGGGAACATGATTGTTTGTGTGTGTGTGTGTTTGAAAAATATGTATCACACAAGTTTGCATCAATATTCAATGTGATTCACAGAAGCGCTTCAAAAGATGGTTTCTGTTAGTGTTGCAAAAGCACTTCTAATTTTGGTTGCCATGGTAACTGAAGAAGTCGCCCTGCTCCAAGGAGAGGCTGCCTAGCTGGAACCAGGAACTGCTCTTGAGGGGACCTCTTCATGTCCCCTCAGGTCTCCATGATAATAATTGCACTTATAAAAAGATACTTGTTTCTTTTTTTAAAACTAAAATCCCATGACTTTTTTTTTTAATTTTCTTATACTATCTTTCCAGGGTTTGCAATTTGTGCAACAGATTGTCCCTCTCAGAGAAATGAAAATAAACACTGCCCTCCAGCAAGTCAAATGGCCCCAGTCAGGCTGCCCCACCTCCCTTCCCACAGCCCACTGCACTCAACAGAGGACAGAAGAGAGTGTTTGATGTTCAAGGAATCCTGGCCTGAGACCAGAGCTCCCTCTCCATTTAGCATTTAAATTTGGAATCCTAATTAGCTTCCTAATTAGGAGATGTGGGAATGTGGGTGGTGGTCTGTTGGGAAAGAAGCTGAATCCAGCTTTCCATAGACTGGTGCTTGGTGTGCTGTTGAATTTGCCCAGTAAACCCTCATGGGTTTATTTTTGGCTTGACCACTGCTAAGTGGTAAGCCTGGAAAACCTTCAGAGCAGCCTCCTTCTGTGTCAGGAAAAAATGTGGATTGGATATTGGTTTGAGGTGTGTGCTTTTTTCTAACAACTAATCTGCATTTTAAATAAAAGCAGACTTGTATGAAATCTAAATCCGCCATTCGTAACTACAGATAGTCCAAAGCCCTTTCTGTCTTCAGTTTAGCCTTAAGTTTTTAGGTAAGAAGACCTTGTGTGGGGCAAGCAGTGGTGCCATTGCAGATACTTTCATCAGCACATCTTGGTGTCTTCAAAGAACCGTAATTATTTTAAAAAATATTTTCTTTATTCGTGATAGAGCACATGCATGAGCAAGAGAGAGAGAGAGAAGAAATTTCCACAGGGTCTGGTCATGCCACCATTCCCCACCCTCCAGTTCTCCAGCCCATCCAATCTTGGGCACTTGGCATGTATGCCAGAGTGTTTCAGGATGAGTCAGGGATTTGAACCACAGTCACTGTGTGGAATCTGGCTTCTCTCTCTCTCTCATTTTAAAAAATAATTATTTAACTTATTTATTTATTTACTTAAATTTGACCAGAGAGGGACAGAGAGAGAGAGAGGGAAAGTGGGAAAGGAAGCTGCTAGTTCTGGGACTCCATTCGAGGTCCAGTGCTTTCAATCACCAAGCCACCTGCTGGCCCCAAGATCTGACTTCCTTTGAGCAGTGCGTCACCACTACACCACAAAGCCAGTTCAAAGAACCATAATTCTTTACACATACATAAGGAGCTATGAATCCTGTAGATCAATTTTACATATTGGTAGTGTATGACCAGAAAATCTGAAAATCCCCTTGTCAAAATTTTTGTCAGAGGGCATGTGTGCTCCCTAGAGAGAGACAGAAAAAAAGAGAGAATGAGAAAACACCCTCATGGGAATGGTCACACCACAATCCTTTCTCCTCCATCTCTCCCTCCTTTGGGGATTTTGAGCATTCATGCATACATTCCCAGGGCATTTTTCAGGACACCAGGTTTAGGACTTGAACCATGGAGTTAGCCATATAGAATCCAACTACCTTAACCATTATGCCATGGGCTTGCCCCAGGCTTACAGTTTTTTGTTTGTTTGTTTTTTAGAGATTTTTGCTATAGAGCATGTTGGCTCACCAGAGAAAGAGACAGAAAGTGAGAAATCACCACTCAGAGGGCCACGCCAGGTGCGTATGTGTTCATGCTGCTCCACTCTCCTCTTGGGATTTTGAGCATGGACACACATGCACCTGGCGTGAGTTTTAGGCCACCAGCTTCGGGACTCAAACTGCGGTCAACTACATAGGAGTCCAGTGACATAACCATTATGCCATCTGCTGGTCCCGAGCCTTACAGTTTTAAAAAAGAAAAATAAAGATTTTGTCTTAGCAGGGTAGTTTAGTCACACACATAGCTCTGTTTTGAGAAAAAAGATAACATTAAATCTAACTTATTTGAATCTGATCACTGTATTTCTCTAGAAATTAAAAACTCTTAATTCATTGATTTTCCTTCAGCTGTTTAAAGGAAAAACTGTTTATAAAATTGGATTCATTAGCTATCTTGTCATTTTATGTTATCATTCTAGAATTGAAGTTACAAATTTAAGAAAAAGAAGGGCCAGGAGGTGTAATGGTGGTTAAGGGCGCTGAACCTAGCACCTTGTTTTCTCTCTCTCTCTCTCTCTCTCTTGTTCTCTCTGTGCCTCTCTGATAAAATTTAAATAAATAAATAAAGTTTTTAAAAAAGCTTTTTAAAAAAATTTAAGGAAAAGAAATAGATTCAATTATTTATGAAGCTTAATATTCTATAACTTAAATTAAGGAAATCAAAGTTCTTAAATTATTTAATCTCAAGAACTTCAAGGTTAGTCCAGCAGTTATTACAGTATCCTGAGGGATATTAACCAGTTTTACAGATGAGTAGGTTGTATGCAAAAGACAAGTGATTTCAGCTCTCCTATTGGTAAATTAAATCACCACCAGGTCTGTGAACATGAGTATAGGCCAAGATTTAGAGAAAATGAAGGTGAAAAGAGAGACGGGGTGGGAATGGTGGGAAGAATTTAAGATTAAAAAGAAAAATAAAACTGGGACCAGAAGATGGCATAATGGTTATGTTGCTGGACTCCCAGGTAGTCAACCGTAGTTTGAGTCCTGGACCTGGCGGCTTAAAACTCATGCTAGGCACGTGTTCGTGCATGCCCGAAATCCTGAGAGGAAAATAGAGAAGGGATTGTGGTGTGGCTATCCCTCCGAGGGGTTATTTCTTACTTTCTATCTCACCAACAAGTGCATGTGCCCTATAGCAAAAAAAAAAAAAAAAAAAAAAAAATTTAAAAAAAAAAAAAAAAAAAAAAAAACTATTAAAAAAAAAGAAAGAAAAATAAAAATGAGGAAAGAGTCTCAGAGAACAGAAAATTGATTAAAGAAAAGGGAGTAAGTTGCACAGAAGAAAAACCAAGTTGCAGAACTGGAATCTAAAAGGAACTTCACTCATCTTCCATGGAGGACAGTGGCAGTGTTCCAAAAAGCTGCAGGTAGGCAGGTATCTTTTTTAGCAAAAATCTGGGACTTGCTTGGAGACTCCCAGGGAGGTCTGAGTGGCAGACCCAAGTGCTTCCAGCTCCCTGCTATCTGCCTGTCCAGGTGGGTGAGTCAGCTTTGGGTGTCTGAATGAGGAGCTGCTCGCTAGTTCTTTCTTCTCAAGCCTCAGTTTCGTTGGAATAACTTATAGACACACTTGATTGCAAGTTGAAATTCTTTTTACTTTTAGAAAATTA